CCGGGCGGGCGGGCGACGGAGCGGACCTGGGAGGTAGGAAAGGGGAGTCTCTTCTCCGGCTCTGTCCGGAGCGTTCCCCGGGTGCCCCGGAGCGGAGCGTCCCTGCCTGCCTGAGAGCGATGCGCGGTTCTTCCACGCCTGCCCGCCCTCGCTACCGGCTGCTGCTACCGCTTAAGGCTACTACAGCACAAGAGCCGCGCTGAGGCAGCCGGTGTAGCCGGCTATTGCTGCTGCACAGGAGGAGGGGAGGAGGCACACACACGATTGGCAGCCCTCCCCTCCCCGGCACCCACCAGGAGGAGACTCCGAGGGGAGGGGGCGTCGGGCAGGGAGACATCTGGAGTAGACCTCACTCACCTGAGCAGCCCCTGGGGCTTCTGTGAATGTCTGACCCTGTGATCCGCCCCCCTCCCCTGCAGTCATTGCTCCTGCCCCATGCTGGGACAGGGGCAACCCCATCCCCCATGAGGCTAGGATGAGGGGCAGCAGGCTGTAGCAGGGGAGGAAGGAAGCCACATGTAAAGGCAGTCCCCTTCCCCCCAGCACTCACCCACCACAGGGGAGGCAAGGGGGGAGGCTTCCTGGATCTGAGCAGCTGGGGCTTGGGTGAGTGTTGTGACACCCTGCCCCTCCCACCCCCCCCCAGCTACCACTTCTGCTCCATTCCCCACCCCCAGTGAAGCTATGGTGAGGGGCAGTAGCAGGCGAGGAGGTCACATGTGATGGCCGCTCCCCCTGGCACCCACCATGGGGGAGGTGAGTGGGCTTCCTGGACCTGAGAGGGGCCCTAGGAGCATATGTAGTGACAGTGGTGCAGAGTGAGTGTGCTGTCCGGGGGAGGGTCCAGAGCTTGCTGCTGAAGGGGGAGTCCTCTCTGGCCCTAGCCCTGGGGCAGCCTGCCTGTACCCCAAGCTCCTCATCCCCGGCTCTGCCCCACCCTAGAGTCTTTGCCCTCAGAACCCCAGCCCTAAGCCCCCTCCTGGACTGTGAACCCCTTATCCCCAGCCCCACCCCAGAGCCCTCACCTGAGGGGAAAAACACGCTACTTATATTTGGCAGTCAGTTTGGGGTATGATCGTGTTTAGCACAATACTTGATTATTTTACACCCTTTCAAGTATATAATTGGTTGAAGCAGCCGAGTGCTGCTTCTGACTTTCCACTTTTAGTTGGCCCTTGTAATCTTGTGGCACCGGCGCACTGTAGCTTCATTTTATCCCAGCAACAAATTCTTGATTTGTAGGATCAGTAATAATCAACAATGGATAAATTTTTAATAAAGTTACCCAGAAAAAAGAAGAAAAGGGTAATTCATCAAGTGACGGCCTGAGTTCAACACCCAGCTTTCAAACTGAAGTTATACAAAAGAAAGATGCAGCAAATCTACAAGATAAGAGTTTTCAGCAGTCTTGGCTATCAAGATTTAAGTGGTTGGAGTACAATAGCGAATTAGAGCTTTTTGCTCAGTCTGCAAAAACTGTTCTGAAAAGAAGATCTTAATATTTTCTACAAAGACCGAACCAATGTTCATTTCATCCGGATTTCAAGATTGGAGACATGCACTGCGTGGTTTTACATCACTTGAAAAATCCCCCTGTCACAAGGAAGTGGTAATGAAATATGCTGCTTTGCAATTTCCAGCAGGGCCCTCCACCAGCATACGGGGGCCCCCCACCCACAGTCACTGCTCTTGTCCAGCGTGGGGCAGGGGGTAGCCCCACACCCAGTGAGGCTACAGTGAGAGGCAGCAGCAGGGGAAGAGGTGCACATGTGATAACAGCCCCCCCCACCCACCCCAGCACCCACCACAAGGGAGGTGAGGGGCTTCCTGGACATGAGAGTGGCCCTAGGAGCACATGCACTGACAGTGGTGCAAGGTGAGTGTGGTGCAGGGGGGAGGTGGGGGCCCCTCCCCTGGAGCTTGCTGCTGCCTGCGGGGAGAGGGCTGGGGGGAGTCCTTCTCTCTGGCCTGCCTGCACCCCAAACTCCTCATCCCCAGCCCTGCCCCACCCCAGAGCCCTCATCCCTGCACCCCAACCCTCTGCCCTACCCCTGAGCCTTCTCCCACACCCCAAACCTCTCATCTCCACCCCACAGTCCTCACCCCTGCACACCAATCCTCTGCCTGATCCCCTCCCACACCCCAAACACCTCATCACCAATCCCACCCCAGAGCCCTCACATTTTTACATTATTTAAAAAAATATACAGTAACTCCTCGCTTAACGTTGTAGTTATGTTCCTGAAAAATGCTACAGTGTACTTTAAGCAAAACAATGTTAAGCGAATCCAATTTCCCCATGAGAATTAATGTAAATTGAGGTCTGGGGGGTTAGGTTCCAGGGATTTTTTTTGGCCAGACAAGACTATATTTATATATATATATATATATATAAAATATAAAGTTTTAAACAAACAATTTAATACTGTACACAGTATTGATGATTGTGAAGCTTGGTTGAGGTGGTGGAGTCAGAGGGTGGGATATTTCCCAGGGAATGCCTTACTGCTAAATGATGAACTAGCACTCGGCTGAGCCCTCAAGGGTTAACACATTGTTGCTAATGTAGCCTCACACTCTGCAAGGTAGCAGGAATGGAGGGAGGGGAGATAGCATGACAGAGAGAGAGACAGAGACACATACCCTGTGTGCGAGAGAGAGACACTCATTGCCCCTTTAAAGTACGTTGACCGCACTCTAAGTGCATTGCCTTTTTAAGTAGATCAGCAAGTTGAGACAGCAGCTGCTGCCAGCAAGCTCCCTCTGTCCTGAGCCCTATCCTGTGTCACCCCCCTGCTCTGTGGAGATGGGGGAGCAGGAGTGCGGGAGGGGGACACTCTGACATCAGCACCCCTCTTCCTTACCCTCTTCAACCAGCAAGCAGGCGGTTCATGGGTAGGGTTACCATATTTTGTGCCTCCAAATGGAGGACACTCCACGGG